TTCAGCAGTTGACATATATAGAGCTCAGCAGAAACATATAAATTATAGCATCTGACCAATGAGAATTTCGCGTCACGATTTGAGACGCAGATATTCAAATTCATTAGTCATCGATGCAGGCTCTCAATTCAGCTTGAGAGTCTGTTCGCAGGCTATCGACTGCCATGTAATTACAAAGTAAACGCTACGCCCTCGGGACTTTTACTAAACCTCCCTCGGTTTGCGGGGTCATTTTATCACTAATTTCCCTCAAAGCATGCGTTTACTTATAATAAATTTAAGGATTTTAGATCGAGTATAAATAACAGACTTGAGTCGCTGATCATGGATATGCTAGATTAGTAGCCGGTAGTCGAAGGAAATAAAAAAAAAACTACAAGAATAAAAAAACTTTAAACCGTGGCGTGCACGTGAATTTGTTGACGATCAGTACATCAAGGGAAGGGGGAAACCAATAGAACTGAAAAGACGTTGAAGAGACTGTCTGGAGTTGGAGTGTACAACAAGTCGAGGCTGGTTTGCCTTCGGGGCGATAGACGATAAAGAATCGCGTATGGTGGAGCGATTAGGAATGACTGTTGTTCCAACAAGTGGGATGTTTCCTCGCGAAAATTGGGGTTGATGGTTGAAGCGTTGGGAAGTGCATTGGGGATACGAATTGTATTGGGCCGAAAATTGGGGCAAGTTGAACAATGTTAACTACGATCGAGGGGCTAGCCGACGACAGGAAGACGAAGCGGATGGTATGAGCTCAGTCTGACTTTACGTTAGTTTGAAGATACTTAGATTAGATAGGGTTATCTTTACAAAATACAGAGTAATTAAATATTATTTATATGTTTTATTGTATATTCGGTCTGTTGATTGTTAGTAGCGTCCACGTTGACGATTTTAATTCGTCGCAGTGTGTCACCAATTGAACGAAATCGCCGGCAAAAATTGTGAAAACAACAACAACACAGATTTCGCTACCCTGTTTCTCGTACTGAAGCAGAGTAAAAGTAAAAGGAAGTTAGCAGACGTAAACGTCACTAAACGTTAATCAAGACTACAATTACTTGTCGCAATTGGGGAATTAGCAGTCAAGAATTCTTCGCTGAAACATGGCCGAAAATGACGTTTCTTCCAAAATGTGTGTTTTTTATGGCAAATAACCTCGAGTAGGAACTGCATGAATATTGATCGAATATTACTTGAAATTTGCAGTGCATGCGTTTGTTGTCCAGGACAAAGTATAAATATTTGGGTTTTCAGTGATACTGTGCGCCAACGATCATCGTCAAATTTCAGTATGTGAGGTATTTTGCTAAAATATATACAGGTTGATGTGCTTTTCTTTCTAGTTTTTGCTAATTGAATGTAAACTCGCCTAAATTAAAAAATGAAGAAAGTACTGAATTTTGGAAAATTCGTGTGCAAGTGTGATTTATACTAAAAAGACGACTCAGAAAATGAGCATCAAAATAAACATTTTGCCATGTATTTTGCTATAATAATAATAGTTTTAAAATATTATTTTTAGGTTTTCATGGTATTTAAAAAAACCAGATAAACATATCAATCAGATTTTTCTACGACCCTCATTTCGAAGCGTAAGCTTTGCATTATTTTTAAACACAATGTTTGCTCGTTCAAAATTCTATAAACACAAATTTTGTCATGTTGCAGGTTGTGCCAATGAAATATCACATTTCCCACCTGTTCGCTGGACCATAATCGATATTAATAGTTTACATTGTAAAATATGTGGCAACAGGGTATTACTGCAACATTTTTTGTCAGTAAATGCAATTTTTATGGTGATTTGTGGCCTAAACAGCCGCTGCAATATTGTATTTCGTAATTTCATGTTGTCTACGTTTTTTAAATCAACCAAGTGGAAGCACGGATATCTTTTTCTCACGCTGAAGACCCGGGCAATTTTCGCGCATGCTCAATCAATTTTCCCACCTGTTCGCCGGACCATGATTAATACTCATCGTAGACTCAATTAGTTCCACAAACGGTTGAAAATAACCGTGAAACAAAGTTTGTAATAATTGTTTTTATGTTATTATTATTATTATTATTATTATTATTATTATTATTATTATTATTATTATTATTATTATTATTATTATTATTATTATTATTATTATTATTATTATTAATATTTTGTGTGTTCCCATATGCGTTTTCAACACTCAATTACAAAATTATTACAAATATATGTATATACAATGTAAAATTATATGTCTTAATCAAATATTAACTAATATGTTCTATATTTAATTATAATAAAAATGATAATCCAGTTCTGTATTTAATACAAGATAAAATTTCCATATACCGTATGCTAAAATATTAGAATATACTATTATTAACTGTTCTTTTAGTTTCTTAAATTTATTAAGGTTTGTGATCTGCTTCAGTTCACTGTCCAAAACATTCCATATTTTTACTGCCCTATAATGGAATGTTCTCTGTCCTGAAGAGGTCTTGAAAGATGGTATGTCTAGACTGTCATGGTATCGAGTTGGTTATGAATGTCAGAGCGTTTAACAAACTTATCTGTAACTGTAAGATAACTCGGTGCCAGATTATTGAAACACTTGTATGCCATTATTGTATCTCTATACAAGAGTAGTAATTCTATGGGAAGCCAGTAGAGTTCTTGTAAACTGAGTGTAATATGATCAAACTTTCTAACTTTTGTAATGATCCGGCCTGCAACATTTTGAACTGTTTGTAATTTTTTGATGTTCTTAGCCGACGTATTTAACCAAATCGTGGAACCGTATGTTATTTTGTTAATCACCAACATCTCGACAATTGATTGCAAAGTTTTAACATCAAAGCTGTCCTTCAATCGATTTGGCATAATTTTCTTATACATGGTGAAGTTAAATTAGAAATGTGCTCATTATATGATAAATTTGAGTCAAATGTAGTTCCGAGATCTTTGGCCGACGTTACAGGGTTCATAGTCTGTTTCAAGAAATTTAAATATATATTTGCAGGTAAATTCTGTAACATGGGTCTCGAACCGATAAGGAGGAATTTAGTTTTGTTTGGGTTAATCAGCAATTGATGTTCTAAACACCATTTGGCTACACTGCGAAGATCGTTTTCCAACTTGATAATTGTTTGTTTTATGTCTTTCATACTGAATGTCAGAAAAAGATTTGAGTCGTCGACGTAGGAGTCGATATTGCGTGACAGTGGGATTGCTAGAACGTCATTTGTATAAATAATAAACAATAATGGCGATAGGACGGTGCCCTGTGGCACGCCATGAGACAGTGGAAGGACGGGTGATGCTGTGGATGCAATACGTACATGTTGTCTTCTACCTGACAAGTAGCTCTTAAACCATCCGACAGCTTGCGAGGAAGCGCCGACACATTTCAATTTACGAAGGAGAATTGGATGGCATACGCTGTCAAAGGCTTTTGACATGTCTAATAAAACTATAGCCTGGGAACAGGCTCTCAAGCTGAATTGAGAGCCTGCATCGATGACTAATGAATATCTGCGTCTCATATCGTGAAGCGAAATTCTCATTGGTCAGTTGCTATAATTTATATGTTTCCGCTGAGCTCTATATATGTCAACTGCTGAAGCACTATGCATAGAAAACACATTAACTGATCAAATTGGTCTTGGCCATCTCATCTCAAAGCACGAAATCAGTTCTGTTTTGAGAAAACAGTATTTAAAACATTTGAACTTTTGCTTGAATATCTTATATTTCGAAAAACAGTATAAACTGTACGGTCTAAATTTAGTTTGCACGGTCTAAATTTAGTTTGCACGAAAGTTGTAAACAACACCATATAAGGATAGACATTCCATATTTGGAAAAACGAACGTTACGAGGCAGATATTCAAATTCATTAGTCATCGATGCAGGCTCTCAATTCAGGTTGAGAGACTGTTCGCAGGCTAATAAAACTACTGCTGTTACGTTCTTTTTATCGATTGCTTCCAACATTATGTCACTTACGAGAATGTTTAGAGTCTCAGTGGAGTGGGCTTTCCTCTTTCCGCTTTGATCAGGTGATAAACGATGGTTGGTTGTTAAATATGAGCTGAACTGATCTAGAGCGACTCTTTCACAAATTTTTGACATGATTTATTCTAAGAGTGAGATTGGTCGGTTATTCAAGGCAACTTCGTTATCACCATCTTTATGTAGTGGTGTTACTTCGGATAGTTTCCATTCGTTAGGGAACACGCCTGTCAGCAGGGAAGAGTTTATAATGTGCGTAAGAGGGCCCAAGATAACTGGCAAGCAGTCTCTAATGATACGCATGTTTATCTTGTCTGGACCTGGTGACTTATTTTTTGGCATTGCCATAATAATACGTTGGACTTCAGTGCAAGTGACAGGCTTGAAATTGAACTGTTGTTCTAATGGATAAGTTACTGAATTTAAGAGCGGATTTGAGAGAATGATGTTATTTTCTTTGGCAATATTTGATGCCATTACAGCAGTATCTCACCACGGATGTAAAGTGCTGACTAAACTCTTCTACAAGTATCTTAAGATCTTTAATATATACTTGCATCTCTTTGATGGGATAATATTATTAACTATCTTCCAGACAGAGCCCGAGTTGTTTTTATGCGCTTCAACTTCATCAAGAAAGATAGTTGCTTGCTGCTTTCTTAAGCTTGTCCTTTACGTTATTTCGAGATTCTTTATAGGCTTCCCAATCTTTTTTATCTCGTGTTTGCAGGAATCTGCGGTGAAGTTTACCTCTAGATTTCATATGTTCTTTTATTTCACGTGAGATAAATGGGTTTGATCGACTTCTAACTTTGAATGTTTTTACTGGTGCATGATCAAGATCAAGAGTTCATAAATCGATAGATAGATCGAGAGTTGATAAATCGATAGATATATCGATAGATATCTATCGTTGATAGATCAAGAGTTGAATGAAGATTATTTTTGAACGTTTCCAATTGTGTGTTAACGTCTGTATCTGAGAAAATTGACAAAAGATCATCTGCTTTAACCGCAAGGTCAGAGGAAAAGTGTAAGGGGTCGCAATACTTGTAGCTTCTCGCTGTAATATAATTTGGTGGTATCTTTGGGACTTTCACTTTAAGTATGACATATATTGGAAGGTGGTCGCTAATTGCAGAATTTATTAACACACCACTTTCGAGTACAGACGCTGTGTTCGAAACGAGAATTACATCGATAAGTGATTGTGTTGTATCAGTAATTCTTGTCGGTTTTTTAATGATTTGTTGGAGGTTTAGCTCTGTGGAGACTTCTACGAGTGCTTTTCTGTCCGGTCCATCATGGAGCATGTTGCAGTTTAGATCTCCAAGTACGAAAATCGGTTGATTCATACGGGTATAAATCGGCTTAAAATGGTCTTCAAAACAGTTTAGAGCAGTCTGGTGGTCGATATGTTACGCAAATTATAATGGATCTATTCTTTTTACTTTGGATATTTATCCAAAGTTGATGAAAGCTTGATTCTGATATTTGTGATAGTTACTTCAGGACGGATGCTTTAAGATTTTTCTTAATAGGGGCGCATACGCCTCCCCCTCTTTTATGTAACCGGTCAAGTCTATATATTTTATAGTCTTCCATGGCAATTTCACTATTAGTCACTGTGGAGTTAAGCCATATTTCAGAAATTGTAAAAATATCAATTTTGTGAAGATTGACCAATTCCTTGACCTCGGTAAGGTGTGCAATATTCCTTAATGAGCGGACATTTAAATGGGCTATTTAAAGCTGAGAGGAGGTTATATTCAAAGGTTTTGTGGTATCAGAATTTGTAGGACTGTAAATGGTTGCTGGAGCAAGCAATGGTATGTTTATGAGGTTCGAATGGGAACAATGGCTGTTAGTGGAGCTCTGTTTTTGTTGGACATCTTCTCTTAAAGCCGGGGAGGTCCTGTGGGGATTTCCATTTGTGGTGGGGGTACAGGCCAGGGTAGTTCAAATGGGGAAGCGGAGTAGAGTCTTGAGTCTTGGAGGTTGAGTCTTGTTGAAGCGGGGAGATCTTGTAGGAATCCCCATTAGTGACTGGGATACGAACCAGGGTAATTCGTTTGAGGATGAAAAGTTGGGAAACTCATTACATGTGGAAAATTTGGGAAAGGGTATGGTCACAGAAGAGATAATACCAGAAGTGTCACTCGAGCGGAAACACGTCCCATCTTTTTTATTGCGCATGCGCGAGCTAAACAAATGTAATGCAGTGTTGACAATAGAAAATTATATTGGGAAGTTGTCATTTCTACAGTAAAAACAGCTTTTTTTGAAGTAGTACGAAATGTGACTTCGATTTATCTGTGGAACTATTTGAACAGAAGGTAAACCTGTAATTTTGTTGTATTTAGAAAGCAAACAGGGTCATATTTTTAAAAAAATAGCGCACTATTACTAAATATAAATTTGAGCATCATTAAAATGTGTTCGCTATGATGCCATTTTGTCTCCGGTAGATACGGAGTACTGCTTTTATACTGGTGGATATTCGAATTTATTTGGCTCAAAAACACCTTTACTTCAATATCCCTTTCTTGTTTTTCCTTGGATAGGTTTTAACAAGATTGAACTCTAGATCACTTGGGTCCAAAAACGCTAGATTATAAAATCCTGATGTGACTTGATACTACAAGTAGAATATGTGTTGTGATTTAATACTACAAATAGAATGACTTTTAAGTACAAACTTCAATGAATTGATAAAGTGTAAGGATAGTGTTTAAAGTCGATTCATGTGTAGAAGCTGAATTACTTTTGTTTATACACTGTAATGTCGATATCACATGTTGATGACTTAATACCAGCATCTTGCAATAATTGCTTAGTGGTCTGTTCAGCTTGTTTATAATACTTTAGAGTTTGGACATTAGAACATTGTAATTTCCTGATAGAGACTGTTAGGGCCTGTTTGTATGGAAGCCGGGTTGGCCCGCTTAGCAAGACAGCCGGTAAGGTAGGTAAGCAGGATGATTTCTCTTGTGTTTATTTGAGAAAATTTCATCCCACTTACCGGGACAATTTTGTTGTTTTGACATTATTTTGACAGTTGTTAAAAATAGCTTGCAGCAGTATCTTTGAACTTTCATCCCGGCAACCATGCTAGCCTGCTTATGATTGTTTATGTGGAGACATTTCCATCCTGGTCTTGGCAACCGGGCCTGCCCGCTTGTCCATAGAAATGATAATTTTTACTATAAAAATAACTAGACAGCGAGATCTCACTTACCGGGCTGTCGCACTTAGCGGGCCAGCCAGTTTCGATATAAACAGGCCCTTAGACAACTGCTAAAAGCTGCAAGTTTCTTTAAAGCAATATCATCTATATCACAGAATACAGTTTCTGTAGTGACATACTTCGTGTTTTTTCTGTCTTTAAAGTGTCTTATGTTTGTAATATTTTTGTACAATACGTTTTTGAAATTGTTGATACTGG